AATTAGTCGACTCGAAATCGTTGGCTCGTAACGATCAATATGAGAATATTAAACGTGTTCGGATTTTTTGGTATTCTCTGCATCAATTTCGAACAATTCAGTACGTAAGACAATAGAACTATTTACGTAATTACGTACTTTTAACAAGTTCTTAAAAAAATTTCTTAAAAATAATTTTAATCAAAAATAATATTTAAATAAAATATAATTTAATCTATCGATATTGTAGTAGATTTATTATTAATATATACAAATCAGTATAAATATTTCGTTAATGTTTTCATAGCTGCTTTCAATAACAAAATGGATATTCGGTCTGGGATAAATGGATTTGACGGATATAAAGTATCGGATTTGGATATAGTGAAACGAAATTGCAAGAATTTGGAAACTTTATCGCCATTATTACGCCTTAAAAAGCATCTTTTTTGCGATTACGATGATACTGTTTATCCCAATTATCCTAAAACAACCAATGTTACTCTGATCTTGATGCCAAGGCAAATGAATTTCGTAAGTGTACATAAGAAACATTATAATATATAAATTATAGTTATCCAACTGTAGACAATCGTAATAAAGTGTGTCCATTCTCCAAATATAAAATTTATAGGACTAATAAATTTTAGTTTTATTTCATGACATAAAACATATTCCTCAACAAAATAAAAGCTTCGCTACTGTTACTTGAGACCCGAATTTTTATAGAAAGCTTATTTTTTCCCTGATATTTGATAGAGATTTAATAATATATTGCGTGTAAAAAAATTAAATAACTTCATTTACAGAAAACAGACAATGCTAAGCTATTATTGCACAGTTGGATGTCACTTGTGAGTACATAATTTCTTTGTCATTACGCCTCGTTTTTTTAGTGTAATATTAAAATATTTAATAAATTTAATACAATATAGTATTTATTTGACAGACGTGGATGGATCCGCGACTTACTTGGACACCGAGCGATTACGACGATATAACTTTTATTCATGTAAAAAGCTGGGAGATCTGGACGCCCGATCTATGTCTCAACAATTCGTAAGTAGACTTTTTCTAATAATTTATGAAAATTAATCCAACCCTTTCCGCTTTAAGTTAAAATGTGTTTTAACAATCCATTTTCTTATCCATATTCTTTATAGGCAAAGAGTAACAGAAAGCAACAAAAATCTTTTATATCACGTTATTCTTTTAAATCTTTTACTTGTCTGTTCTATCTTTTTTAGTGCCGATATGTCGAGTGATCAATATGGGCTACCTACGACAGAGTGTTTGCTCTTCAACTCGGGCTCCGTCAGCTGCGTCCCCGTAGTAAAATTTATTTCAAAATGCGATCCCGATTATACGTATTGGCCTTACGATAAACATCAATGTCGCGTCACGTTTATTTCATGGATGCACAAAGGGGAAGAAGTCGATTTGCTGATGAGTGGAATTGGGGTATGCGCTTTAATCGAAAATCATTTAATTCTCTAATTATTTGATCTATCATTATTATTACATAAAACAGTGCCTGTTAATTCTCATTTTCTTCCGAATAATACTTTCTCTGTGTATGCACGTGGGTAGATACTAATTTGATGAAATTATTTAAAAACTACGCGTTTTAGAATTAATGAAAGATACTTTTATATTATAACTGCGTATTTTTTAAATATTTTTGTATTTTTTTTATAGTGCGAGCTTGTCTATGTAAAAAATGTAAAAAAGATTATTTTATATTAAAAAATTACAATATTTAATCGTATCTATTCACATTAGTTTGGTGAATATTCTTACTGTTAAAAAATCGATATCTTCTTTCGCAGATTATTATGAGCAGTTACATAAATGACACGAGGTGGGATTTCAAGTTTATCAATTCGATGAGGGAAGTCAAAAAATATAAGTGCTGCCCGAACGACACGTATCCAAAAATCAATTATAACTTCTTGTTGACGCGCCATCACGGCAAACATCACTCGTCTATTATCATACCGGCTATCGGTGAGTACTTGTTCGCAAAAGTGCAAGGAATCATCAATAAGGACGATACATTTCTTTCCAGCTTTGATGTTACTCACTTTAATAGTACTCTGCCTCGACTTGAAGTCGGTTGAACGAATGGCGGTAGCAAGCGTGAATTTTGTTTGTCATTTTCTCTGTATGTATGTTGTGCATTGGAGTATACCATACAACAGGACTAATCCCCCTAATATATGTAAGTAACGAAAGATCATTAAAATATATCATGTAAAGAATATATAAAATCCAAATAATTTTTAATTTTCTAATTATTAATTTGAAAACAGCATTTTGCTGAATTAAAATTTAAAATATATTAAAACAGACTTAAAATATTCGTTGATTTAATTTGCTGAAGAAAATATAAGATATAACATTTTATATTAGAACTGTCAACTAGAATTAAAATTATGTCGAAAAATTTCCAGTATATCATACATAACAAACGATAAGCATTAATTAGCATTAAAATCGGACTTAAAAAATCTATAGTTTCTAATATAGGTATAACAAATGTGAGTAAATTATTAATAAATTTATAAATTTCATATTTATCTTACAGTGTTATTTTACCGTGAATCCTTGGCACTGGCTACCTTCGCGATAATTCTAACGGCTTTGTTACGCAAACTGGAAGATATGAGCACAGAGATACCAAATTGGATCTCGTTTACTACAGCATTTGTTTTGAACAACAAAGCTGGGCGTTTTCTGATCCTTAAAGACGACGAGTCTAATTGTAAGATAATAGACAGAGATATTGTGACTGAAGAAAACTTGGATGCTCCCAAATCTGAAATAAGCACGAAGGAATCGTCCTGGAAATACTTTGCTGCTATTATCGACTGGTTATCTTTCTTTTGTGTGATTCTTACTTACGTTATCGTCTTGATTATTCTAGTACCCGCTGGTTAATCTGTGATAAAAAATATTAACGCTGGAATATCCTCCAATGTTCCCCATCTTCCACAATGTTTGAAATACTCTCATAACATTCAAATGTCATTTCGTTGCGTGC